CTCAGCTTCGATTTTCTTTCCACTTCATGTATATAGAAAGGAGAGGCTGAGGAACACATTGGGTGATTCGTCGAGATTTAGTGAATGGCGGAGATGCTGAGGAGAAGGGTATAGGGGTGCTAAGGGGCTTTAAGGAAGGGCGGGTAATACTCATTTGTAAATTGAAGCCCCTTTTGTTACTACTGATGACCCCAGCACCAGCACCAGACTAAAGAAAAGTCTGCTCTAGCCCAAGGTTGGTGGTACTTTGGAGAATTAAAGGAAAAGGGTTTGCATTTTACATGTGCGTGCACGTAGGATAGAGAAAACAGGACACTGGATGGAGGTCAGGCTTCTGGACATCTTTTGCCATTGCTCTGTTATTTTATCTCTTTTCCCTATAGGGAAATAGTAACTGTTACCAGATTTGAGTATCTCAAATTCCTCAGTAGTAGGTTTCTACTCGAGCTACAACCATCTGGTTTCTACTCCCCCCTTCTTCTGCCTAGAGACAATTTCAACAAATTAAAAGAGATTAAAAATAAAAATAAAAAAAGCAATACCATTGTGCTGCCCTGTTTCTATACCATATTTCTTTCAGGAGGTGGAAGGAGGGGATAAATAGGTCAAACCCAGTAAGCATCTGAAGGACTACAGATTTGGAAACCTGCTGGGGGATTAAGCAGAAACTGTCATTTGTAGATGCCCCTTGGCCTTCCCTGATAAGCAGCCCAAATCATTTTACTGAAAGGGGAGAAAAATAGCATCCAACCCAGAGCTGTCTCTCCCAGGGACAAATGCTGTAATCAGAATAGCAGCAGGCAGGCTGAGTTCCTTCACCTTCCTCCACATTCAAAACAGCATGAATTTACATTCCTGGGGCTGTCTGACTGCCAAATAGAAGGGTAAATGCTGTTGGAGAGTCCAACAAAGTCATGTTTTCTGGTTATCCAAACTCAGTTTTGGCACAACCCCGATAATGGGTCCTCTATAGGTATATGGCTTCAACCCAAGTCCTATCCTAGATTCATTCCAATATAAGATCCACCTTATGGTTCATGTTCTCTCTATGGTAATTTTAGAGAACTCATTTTGATTTGGAATTTTTAAAATATGAATATTAGTTTAGAGTGAATGTGAGCAACTTGGTAAATTTTTTCAAATTGATGCTATAAAGCAGGGTCCCCAACCCCTGGGCCACAGACCAGTACCAGATACTGGTCCGTGGCCTGTTAGGAACCAGGCATCACAGCTGGAGGTGAGTGGCCAACCAGCGAGGGAGCAAAGCTTCATCTGTGTTTGCAGCCGCTCCCCAGCTCTAGCACCACCGCCTCAACTCCACCTCAGATCAGCAGGCATCAGATTCCCATGGGAACACTGGTCCCTGGTGCCAAAAAGGTTGGGGACCGCTGCTGTAAAGAACCACAGTGGGACACAGAGATGCATGTCTCAAACTGGATTGGTCTCTCATGAAAGGAGATAGTGGGAGGCAGCTTCCATCTGGGAGTAAAGTTCAAGGAGAAGTAAAAATAAAAAAAAGACCTCATCTGTGTCGGTCTGTGACAGAGGCAAAGAAAAATACATTAAGATGACGAGTTCCGAGATGTTAGGGAGATCTGAAGGGAATGATCAAGTTATTTTTCGTTAGTGTCAAAAGATATTATGTTATTGTAAAGAATTTAGTGAATAAACTATCTAATAAATGGTTTATTTCCACCCAAAACAAGAAGTACAATATCTTGTGAATACTTGTTTATTAATTTTACAAACAATTTTGAATTTTTTTATTAGGTGTAGTTCCAGGTTTTGTTGGTCCTGAAGCTTATATAATTTGGGGGCCCTTCTTTAAGAAAGAAAAAGAATCCAAAAATGGGAATACAAAATTAAATATATGGTCTTAGAAGGAGTGTGCGCAAGTGAGCTTCCTGGTAAATTTCCACATTTGGAGTCTATTATATGCACAGTGGGCACCTGGTGTTTTGCCTCCTCTGTTTCTATTCTCTTTATTTTTTCTGATGATAACACCTTAAATTTCCTTTGAGAAATGAGTCTCCTCTCACTTTTTGTCACATGACTAATGAGCGGGCATATGACTCAGACCTGGCCAATGAGAGCACTTACATTCTAGTGGCAATAATGATTAGTTAATAATGGGAATGTATTCTAAGCTGAACCAATAGACTTCGGGCCTTGGGGATTTTTCTGGACCTAGTAGGTTGAAACATATGAAATCGCCACTATTCAACATTTGTTGACCTACATAAATGCAATTTTATATATTTCAACCTAATATTGAGAGTTTATTTCCATTGGGTTGCTAGGGTGATAAGATGAAAGCCTGTAGTTTCTGGTGGCTGCTTTTGTTACTCATGGTCAACAGATGGCTTGAGAGCCAACCCAGAGGAAATCAGAATGGAGGGAGAGAGAAAGATTGATTTATTTTTTTAATTTTTATTTTTATTGAGGTACAACTGACATACAACGTAATATTAGTGTCAGCTGTACAACATAGTCATTCAATATTTGTATATATTGCAAAATGATCTCAGTCAGTCGAATTAATATGTCATACATATAGAATTTTTTTTCTCATGATGAGAACTTTTAAGGTTCTCTTAGTAATTTGCAAATACTCAATACAGTATTATTAGCTATGGTTGTCATGCTGTACACTACATACCCATGACTTTTTTATTTTATAACTGTAAATTTGTAGGTCCCGGTTTCCTTTACCTGTTTCACCCCTGCCTCTGGCAACCACAAATCTGTTTTCTGTATCTATGAGCTTAGTTTTTCCTTTTTCCTTTTAGATTCCACATATATATGAGATCATACAGTATTTATCTTTCTCTCTCTATTTCACTTAAGTTCCATCCATGTTGTTGTAAATGGCAAGATTTCATTCTTTTCGTGGCTGAATAATATTCCACTCTATGTATATATGTGGATGTGTGTGTTTGTGTATCTTTGAGTTAGTGTTTCTGTTTTCTTTAAACAAAAATGCAGAAGTGGACTGGCTAGATCATATGGTAGTCCTACTTTTCAACTTTTTGAAGACCCTGCATACCATTTTCTTTTGTGGCTGCACCAATTTGCAATTCCACCGACAGTGCACAAGCAATCCCTTTCTCTACGT